CATGTAAACCTTCACACAGATTTATCTAATCATGCAATTTAGTTTCTTCAGTCCCCCACCAATCTTCTCAGCTGCAATAATCCCCACTCCAGACAAACGATCTTCCTCCTGTCAATCTTTTCCTTTGGTAAAGCCGTCTCCACTTTCACGAGAACTCAAAGAATAGAGGTGCATATGATAGCGCAACCTGTTAAAATTACAACTTTTATTCAAGACAAATGTATGCACTCGCATATGTCCTGAACAATCTGATTGGACGCAGGCTTTGTTCAGGTATTTTGAGAGCCAGCAGGTCCACTAGCAAGATACTGAAGTTTGGCCCAGTCGGAGATTCCTCCATCCACACAGTTTAGCGTAGATGGAGCAATCTGTTCCATCGGACCATCGAAAATCTGCAGATAATCCTATAGGTGTATGGCCAGCTTTAGTCGGTGAGCTAGGGTCAGTGATTTCTCAAAGCTGTTAAATACAGCTAGTAGTTTGCCGTTGCTATGTTACCTCTATTAACCCTTTCTTAATATCTTTCCACATTCTTATACCATCCCGATCCAAAATTAGTAGTAGTATACAAATAAAAAATTAATGTCCAGGGAAGTTAAATATTAGTATGTTCCCATCACCAGATGTTACTTAAAAGCCCCAAGATAGCCCCTTTAGATTGTAAGCCCTCACGGGCAGGGCGCTCCTTACCGTCTTGAACTGTATTGTAATTGTAATGTCTTCCTTACATTGTAAAGTGCTGCGCAAACTGTTGGCGCTATAAAAAATCATGTATAATAAGGTAATGCACTCAAATATTAAATGTTTCTATGTCCTTATACCTGAAATCAGAGGTCTTTATTTAATCTGAACAAACTCCTCCTGAAATATTCCATTATTATTACTTAATAACTTACACCAAATACCTAAAACGCCATCGCTATAAATATTGAAAACCACTAAGTTAGTCTGAAGCAGTGGCGTAACAATCGCCATAGCGACCTAGGCGGCCGCAAGGGGCACAGACACGGGGGCCCGGCCAGGGCATCCCTCTGATGCTGTGTGGGCCGCCTGGGTTGCTACGGCATGTAAGGGTGCTGGCTGTCACTGACAGCTCAGCAGCAGCGTTTCTCCTCACAGCCGCTGCAGAGCTGTCAGTGACAGCCAGCAGCTAGGGCAGAAGAGGCCAGCGTTCGCAGTAAAGGACGAGATGGGGCCCGCCTAAGAGCAAACCCGCCTCCTCTTACATCACTGGCCAGTGACCTAAGAGCAGGTGGGGCCAGCGATTTAAGAAGGCGGGGACCCATCAGAAGAGGAGGCGGGGCCCCGGCGAACCCGG